AAGTTGTTTTGTTTCTTAACATAAATATTTTCRTATCTCATGCTGAATGAACTAAAAGCTTCTAGAAAAAAGTTTCACAAACAAACACCTGCATCTAGATTTTTTTTAAGGTTTTTTTATACAGATGTTGATGCCTCTATTTTGAACGTGTAATAAACATTTTTTTAAATTTAAGTATTTCCTTCTTTAACAACTTAAACAAAACTAATAATTTCTTAGGCTAATAGCTGCCCTATTTTGCCACAAGTTTGCTATTCCAAAAAGGAAAAAGCAATAAAAGTTTCTGTCATTATAGTGGAAAAGAGATTCTGCAAGGAAGGAAATGTAAGCTAGGAAGATAGTACAGTACTGATATAAAAGCTACATATTGAGGTTCATGTAATATATTTTTGTCCCTCCTCTGTGTGTAAGAGACTACACACAGTTAAAAAGTTAAAAACAGAGTTTTATTAATAGTCTCTTAACCAATGCAGAAGCTTGGCTGACTGCAGCTCTTAACTGCAAACATTTTTTCTTGTGATTTTTCTGGCTGGTACGTGGCCTTTTCACGTCACCTCAGCTGGTTTGTCCCTCTGGAGCACCCCGATGGCCACAGAGCTCCTGCAGCAGAGCCCATAGCAGTGTCCCCAAGGGGCTGCCAGCTCCTCCAGCCCGGGCTCTGGGCTGCTGCAGCCTCACTGCCAACTGTGCCCCCGGCCTCGGTGTCATTAAAATTGGCATTAACAGCTGCTAATTTCTGTGTAGACACACCATCGATTAGTGGTCTGGACAAGGGATGGCTGACAGAGGATGAAAAATAGYGGGCAGGGAAAGTGAGGTCTAGGCTAGCGAAGGGAAAGAAGCTGACAGAAGCTGGGAGCTAAGGGAGAGACTGATGTAATGAATGAGTTTAGAAAGGGTAGGTTCAAAAAGAAAGAGTTCGAGTGAGTAATTTTGCCCAGGAAAAAAAAAAAAAAAAAAAAAAAAAAAGTTGAAGCACGGGGTGAGGCATGCAAGGCCAGAGAAAAGCAGCAAGAAGAAAGTGGGTCGGGAGTTCAGGGGACACGAGGCATGGGAGGCAGGAGGCAGGGGCTGCGTGGACGAGGAGGACCGACAAGCACCCAGGCTCCGGAGGGAGCAGGCAGCAGAGCAGCGAGGTGAAAGTGGGAGGAAAAATCAAGGGAGCAAGGGAGGAGGGAAAAAAGTGCAAAAAAATAATGAATTTTGACATGATAAACTCCCAAGGACTGGATTTATTCCCTTGGCATTCCAGCTAGTGCAAGCCAAGGTTGTGTCACACTCCTGGGGAACTGCTGCACTCTGTTCCCCTTCGATCAGGGCTTGCCCGGCCTGCCGGYGACATTGGGATGAGGCATGGCAGCGCCAGCGAAGCCATATGGTATCGGGAGTGCTTATCTGCAACAGGCAGATTGCTGTCGCTGCACCGTGGAGAAGCGTTGCGCACACAGGGCCGTGCTGAGCAGCTCCACCATCTACTGCGGACAGCACTCCCTTCAGCAACGCGTGTAAACAGAATTCCGTGTGCGGACAAAGCCTCAAGGAGTACGAGTTTTTTGCCTCATTTGTCCCCAGATTAGAGAATTTAGCCGCAGCAGATCTTATCATCTGCTGCTCTCTCTTTTTTTTTTCCCCTCAGAAATATTGAATAGAGATCATCCTTCTTCCTCTTGCCCCATTGCTTGTTACCTCTAACACAGCCAAAGGTGCAGAYGATCAGAGCCAGCGAGGGAGCAGGTGGGGAAAAAAAAGGTGCAGGAAAAGGGGAGATGGGAGATGTAAGAACCTGCAGGAGCAGGAGGAAGGTGATGTGGGAAGCTGCAGAAGCTGCAGACATATCCCGCTGTATGCTCCCTGCCAGAGCAGAGCTCCAAAGCAATGAAAGATGCTGTATACAGGACCAAATGGCAGGAACAAGGATATTATTGTATTTAGCATTTGCATTGTGGAATTTGGGGTGGCACTTTATAGCTATTAAAAAAAAAAATAGATTTACTGAACCTGTTTCTGTGCAAAAACACATCTAAAAACAGCAAACCATATAGATATTTTCAACATACTCTTTATTACTGCCTCTGAAGCTTCCCAGTTAGGGGTGATATTTTAAACACAAATGGAAAATGTCAGCGCCATCAGAAAGGATGCTGATATTGAAGAGATACCAACTCATCCTCTGACATTTTAGGATTATAGCTACTGTTTTATATTTAAAAAACAATCAAGGGACCTACTGCTAAACGTATCTGTTGCTGCCTCGATCCAGCTCTTCAGCCTTTGTTCTGTCCTCTGAACTTTTGAAATCCCGGGAAGATAAACTTACAGGCTGCGTCTGCTCAGTGGGAAGATTATTAAACAAGAAACGCCAAACAATTAAGCAAAACCTTCGCTATATGTAATCATTTTGATTTAGCGTTTGATAGAGTTCATCTGATCAAGCTCTTTCCAAACTGCACGTAGAGTTTGGCTTRGGACAAGCAGAATCAACCCATATGTATCCTGACAGGGGTGTTTACTCGAAGGGAGTTATCCCAGCCTCCCTGCGCGCTGGGTTCTGAGAGCAAGAAACTAGGGACGCAAAAGGGCCTGGGGACAGGAACTGCAAGAACAATAAGGATAGAGAAACTGGAGGAAATAACCTACTGGGAGAACAGGAATGCACTGGGAATAGCAAAATCAATTGGATGGGGAGAGATCTGATATTGGGAAGATGCCCATGACAAGGCAGTGAGAGATGCCCGTCGAGAGAGCAGGCAGAGGAGAGAGGCCACGGGGCTGCAAGCGTGGGGGAAGAGGGGAGCTCCAGGAATGTGACACTCCAGTGAGGGAAGGGGTGCTAGTCAGTGGGGATGACAAAAAGAAGAGCAGACGACCCTTAAACTAGGCTTTGACCAGGGAGGCTCTTCTTCAGCTGGCAGACCAGTAGGTATTTCTGGCTGCAGAGACTTATTTTCCCCTCCCCATCTCRCAAGCCTGGAGCAGATGGAGAGCTAGGCCTTGTCTGTGAAACTTGGGCGGCGTTTGAGCCCACCTTGCCTGCTGCCATCCGCTACAGCGGACACTCACCTGTTTGGTTTGACCCGAGCCAGAGCGGGACTTTCCCGCAGGGTGCCTTCCCCGTCCCTATGGTGCTGCTGGGGCCAGAGGTTGCAGAGAGAGAGGGAAGGAGCAGCCCCAAGGAGTCACGCAGCCGCTTCGGCACCTCCGCAGCCCGAGCGCCGCTCGTTTGGACTCGCTACTCATTAACAGGGTTCAGGGCGCGCAGGCCCGCGAGCACCAGGAGGCTGCAGCCCCGCGGGGCTGCCCTGTGCCCGCCGAGACCTGGCCCTGCCGCCCACCGACCAGGCACCCTCCTGGCGTCTGCTGGGGCCGGGAGCCAGCCCTGCCGCAGGCCGCTCGCGGGGCAGGGTTCGCGCTGCTTCGCTAACCGGGCGCTACATTTGGGAGAGGCGGTAGGGAYGGGTGTTGGGGCAGCGGGGGTAGAAGGAGTCCCAAACCTGGAAGCAAAAAATAAATAATAACAAAAATAAATGAATAAAAATAAGCAGCAGGTCCCCAAGCCCTCCAGATGTTGCGGGGAGGTGCTGGTGCTACAAGGAGCGGGGCTGGAGCTGGGGTGGCTGCGGCCCGACCCCCGCCGGCGGCAGCTGCGACCGGCGCTGCCTGCGGCGGCGGGGAGAGAAGAAGCGCCCGGGGGGGCGGCACGGACGGGCGGCGGGGCCCGGGGCGCTGCGCGGGGCGCTGCGCGGGGTCCGGGGCGCTGCGCGGGGCCCGGGGCGCTGCGCGGGGCGCTGCGCGGGGTCCGGGGCGCTGCGCGGGGCCCGGGGCGCTGCGCGGGGCGCTGCGCGGGGTCCGGGGCGCTGCGCGGGGCCCGGGGCGCTGCGCGGGGCGCTGCGCGGGGCGCTGCGCGGGGCGCTGCGCGGGGTCCAGGGCGCTGCGCGGGGCGCTGCGCGGTCCCGCCGCAGGAGCTGCCGCCCGGCGCGGGGCCCTGGCGGGGCGGCGCGGAGCGGAGCGGGTGGGGGGGAGATTTTTTCTACCTCGCTGTTTGTTTCCAGGGCTATCGGGAAAGAGTGGCGTCTTCTGCAGGATAAAGTCCCTGTCTACGCGGGCGAATTGCCCGTGTTCAAAGTCTAACGGCAGGAGGCTATCGAATGCAATCTCCACGAAAGGGATGACTTTTACAATATATGGGCTGATTGCAAATAAGTTACTAATAAGCCGCTTCGGCTTAAGAACGGCTCTATGCATTATTTCCTAAGATCTGTTTATTTGCAAGTGTTTCTTTCTTTCTCTTCTTTTTAAAAAGTATTTCGTTCGGGAAAATAACAAAAGTACAGAAGTTAATATTTAGACATTCATACTATTAAGTAATAGAGCTATAAAGGCTCAAATACGGACACTTTCATTTTACTTAACAATAGATAACACAAAAGCAACAGTGGAACAGGCCAAACAAAAGCGATCACCGAAATTGTTGTGACAGTACAATTACCCGGCTAGAAAATTTATTCAATATGCTTTACCATTGCATTGACACAGCAGGAAAAAAAAGCCCAAATGTTCAGAGAATAATACAACAAGGCAGGAGGCATTTGGAAAACAAAAAAGAGATTTATTTTGAAATACACTTTTTAAAGAGATACTTTGACTCCCAGATTTGTTATCAATGTGCATCTGACATGACAAAACGAAACAAACAAACAAAGAAAAACCACATTCTGTACAGAGCTCTAAAATGAGCCGCGAGTATCTACAAGACTAGCTTCCCGCTCTCGGGGTGGCTTGGAGAGGGGCCCGATCCTGCAGTCCACACTCTCTAAAGGAGCTTTGCAGACGTGTGGTAGGAAAGATTGGCCCCTGAGCCCGCACGTGTGTCACTGTGTGTGTGTGTGTGTGTGTGTGCGTGTGTGTGTGTGTGCGCGCACGTCTGTGAGTTTCTACAATAGAGTCCTGGAGCAAAATTAGCAACTCGGAGCTGCAGGAGCGGGCGCAGGTCCCTGGCTGCTCTAGAAGTCCTGCCGCGGGGTGTGAGTTAGACTGTGCCGCCGTAGATCACAGTTTCGCCTGAACACTTTGCCGCACTGCTCACAGTTGTAGGGCTTGATGTCTGTATGGGTAAGAAGGTGAGTTTTCAGGTTACTTCTTTGATTAAAGGTTCTTCCACATGTGGGGCATTTGTGTGGAGATTCCTGTTCAGATTTGAAGCAAGCAAAGGATTAATCCTTTACAAACTACCTAAGTCATCGACTTTAACGTACTACTGCGCTTTTTGTCATCGCAAAGCAGAGCGTGAAATGTCGGGAATCGGCGCAAATCGAGAGCGGGAGCCCGAGCGGACGCCCCGACGGCTCCTGCCGCACAAGCGGCCGCGGCCGCCGCGGCTCTGCGCGCCCCGCGGCCCCGCGCGCAGCGCGCCTCAGTCCATGGTGGCGGCCTCGAAGAGC